TAGAAACAGCATTTACTTAATGTGATTAATGTACGTTGCCTAAGGGAGGCGGATTTAGTAAAAAACCACATCCTATACGTTAATTAACAGAAAATTTAAGGACTAAGGGTCTACCCTTCCCTTCCTCTCTCCTAATTGATATAGGAGAGAATATCGAATTGGTATTCCCTGCTCTTATAGATTTCATTTGCATAAAAAACAGAATCTAAATGAGGAGATTTTATAAAAAACTTCTAGGGAAAGAGACCCCTCAAAAAACCCCTGTGACCGTGCTACAAATCATATAGATAACGTGCTCAATATACTTTTGTTTTTAAAAGAACGTTATTAAAAAACTATTTATGAATACTTTTAAATTATTCTCAAGGGTACATTCTATTTTTTAAAATAATATATAAATAAAAGTTACGTATTGTCCAGTTTAGAAGGTATTTAATCGGCAACTCCCCTCCCTTAACTTCTCAATCGGTCTCTAGCGCTAATTGATGTAGTGAAGTAATTATCATAATAATTATAGTAATAAAATAATAAATAATATATATAATATAAATAAAAAGTAACACATGAAAAACATTTTTTTAAATGCAATGTATATTTTCGGCCGACCATGTTTCCTAGGGTGCTGAACCCAAAAATGAACTCCATGGACCCCTATCACGTGCGGTTTCTTGCAAAGTAATGGTGGTTTACTATGAAAAAAATTTTAACAGTGATGAAAAAAACCACTAATTTTAATATATTTAAATAAATATATTACTCCTGATAATTACTCACAAAAACTTGTGCACTACGTCTTTGAAGTGATCCCATGCTTTTTATTCTTTTTCTTCCTTTATTTCGAAAAGAGGGATCGGTTAATAGTTTTCGTATGCCGGGACCAGTAATAACTCCCTCTTTCAACTTGACCTCAGACAGGCTTGGGAAACTTGGGAACACAAAAATGGGAAACATTCATTATCTACTGGTATTGATTTTACAAACTGCTTCATGAGCTCTAATTTAGTGTGAAGAGGTGGTAATAAAACCTTCTCAAGAGGAAGTAAGGGTGTATTAATTACGTATTTTCCACCGGGGGTGAAGGCATATCGAAGTGGCCAGCCATCTTTTGTTTATAAAGGACTCTGGCTCGATTGTCCCAAAAACATAAGCAGGGATGTTTGTATAACCCACCTCCTTGCCCAACAACATGGTTTGTTTATACTCATCCCTATAACTTTATTGTGGGGATATAGTCCCCTGCGCTCCACGCACCCCCAAACCCATTACCCATTTACTATTATTATATTATAAATTCACTCTTATAATTTTAATTGAAAGTAAGAAATAATTATTAAATATGGTTTTTAAAATCAACAATGGGTCACCAGATTTCAAGTTGAAGAGAAATTTCACGCAAAACTAAACTAAAAATATGAATTTTGCAATTGACGTGATGGAATTTTTATACTATTTTTTTAGTTTTTACTGAGTAAAATCCTTAAGAAATAGTAAAATTATCCCATGAAGTTAATTTGCAGACCTGTTTAATTTTGAACTGGTTACAAAAATCCAATAGCCTCGTAAAGTGTGTTGACAAAATTTGAAGGTTATAACCCAATGGCATTTTGGTCGTACTAATAAAGAAAGGCCTTTGCACCAGCCTTATTTTTACTTCCTTCCTTTTTTTTAAAATTGGTTTGGGTGAAAAAAAAAATCTCTAAGAAACAGTAAAAAAAATTATAGGCAGTTTTTTGGTTGCGAAGATATGTAATCGATTTTAAAATTTAAATAATGATTAATCTTTGTTGTTTCCGTACAAATGAGCGAAAAAATTCGAAATCTTACTTTTTTCGCCTTTATTACCGAAAAAACCCTAATCCTAACCCTAACTTTAACACGTACTATTTAATAGGAGCAATATATATATATGTGTGTGGATAATAGATACGAAATTATTATTAAATTATTAATAAACTAAGCATTTAATAAGGATGAATATAGCTGTTTAAATAAAATGAGCTCTAAACATTGAAGACATGCTAAATAATTTAAAAGCTTTTGAAACCTTTAAAAAAATATGTAAGGCTTTACAGTCCACTAAGAAGATCACGCTGTATTATTATTAGACTAATTCGCCTGCATTGCCTAATCGTCCACCTGCATATCCTTAAATTTGCCTTCGACAGTTCTCCTATTTCCTAATAGCACAATACCTCGCTCACCACTACTTATTACGGAAATATATTCTTAATTTAAAAAAAGATGTATGAGTGAGAAGTGTCCCGTGTAGCTCATTATTTAATGCGTTGACGTCCAAATTAATCTTGCTGTTTTAACCCCTTAGTGTAGTTGCTGGTCTTAATGGTTACATGTACGTTATTCCCAAAAAACAAAGTTTAACAAATTTAACTGCAATTAGTTTGTACTTATCAAACTCAATAACTATGAGACTAACTGATATCTTTGAAAGAGGCAACTCTCCAATCTTTGCTGCTAAAAAATAAGGTTCGGCAATGAAAGGAAGTTTATTTACTAACTGTAGCAAGCCAATTTTTTATAAAATAATAAATAATTAATCGTTGTAAATCCGTCTTCTTTTTTTAAATATTTTATTGTTTAGCCTTGCTTCGCTTAGTTAAGCTAAACGTTTTTTAAAAAAAAACTGTTAAACCGGTATAGACTTTGCAATTAGAAGCAGCTTCATCTTAACAATGTATGCAAAATAGTTGGAATTAAAAAAATCCACTTTATCTTTATTTCTAAGTTAAAAGTCATAAATAACCAAACATTATATTAAAAAGTTACAGGAAGCAACAAATAATACTTTCTTCATCAGCATTATATGATTAACTACTTTTTTAGAGGTTAAGGCTTCTTATAACACTAAAGACAAATATACTTATATCCTCTTAATTACAAATTTATTGAAGTGCAATACATCAAAAAATAGTAGACATAAAGCTTTAGAAAAGACCTCCAAGGTCGCTGAGTGCAACAAAAATTTGGAATTTCTTTAAACTACTGTTGGTTTTATATAGTTGAAGGGTATGCCATGGAGGCATTCTACCGAGTCATTAGCCCCAGACATTAGGAGAAGGGGCCAGGTACAATATTCGCCTTCTTTTTTAAAAAAAATGAGAAGATCACTAATAGTTTGTAGTGCACCTAAGTTGCCGTCGGGTATCCATCTCCCCCTGTGCTTTAGCTTCTAAGGGCTGAGAATGCGTAGTTCGTATCTGTAGGATGTCAAGCACAAAGTATCCGTCACTAAATCTTCCGATCTGGCCATTCCTAGGAGAGCTTCTCGAGCTTGAAGTCTTTAGAATCTTTCTAGAATGGTTTAGACCTGCGCTGATAAACATAGGTTTCCGGCAGGACAAGTTTTATCAAATTTAACTATGCTTAACAGAACAGGGAAAGTATTGAAAAATGCCCAGCACAATGCTGTTTAGGCCGGTTCGTATTACCTCATGCAGATTATAAGAATCTTATAAACACCATAAAGTGAACGCTCACCCAAAAAGGAGAAGAAATTTTTTTTTAAAGTATCGAACAGTAAGACAGAACAAGCAAGCTACTTTGTAATTAATTATTCCGCTATATGGCGTGCATATGAACAATATCGGTTTACTATATCGAACGCCTGGGCTTATACCTCGCAAGAGAACTTAAAAAATTATAATCGCTTTAAAATAATGACCTGCGAACGGTTACCTATGCCTGTAATAGAGACTAAGAAGAAACAATTAAAAAAAAACACAATTCATTACAATATTTTTAAATCAAATATTATTACATCTAATAGTTAACAAAAAAAACACAACTACCATAGAGCAAAAACTAGATAAAAAAATTACTTATAAGGTTATATAGTAAAATACTGTCATGAAATGTAATAGACCTTAATAAACATAAGCAGAACACACTAAAAACACAAGATTTATAGAAATAAAACAACAAAACAGAAAACTTATTAAAATTTTCGCAGGAAAACTGATGTAAATAAATCGATTAGTAACCAGTAATTAAACCAACAAACAGAATGAGAAATTTGTTATTTAAACATGAAGGCAATTAACTTTAGACCATTTTTTTATTTTGAACAAATTAAACAAGGTAAAAATAATGAAAATTATTCTGTAAAAAAGTTAATAATTTTCACAAGCATAGAACTAACTTTTTTATCTTTTGTAAAGGTATAAAGGTATAAATAAACATGATGAGAAAACCGAACAATAAAGCGTGATTGCCTTAAAAAACACAATTATTTCTTATTAGGGAACAGCTAGTTGGAACCTAAATACGTTTATTTACCAACAAGCTCAGTAAGCGTTTACTGCGTAAGTAAATGCCCCAGTTACCTGCTATCTGAGATATCAATATGCCTTGCTTAATTGTTAATAAAAGTGAATACTAACTAACTTAATAAGCGGACAAGATTATTGACCTTACTGCTGTCCTTGTGACAAAACTTCTTTTTTTATCTTGAAAGTTATTTTAAAGTTTATTGCAACCTACCTTATGAACGCTATCATCATTCGTAAATATATTCATAGGTGGTGTTATTACTCTCGATTGCCCTCTTGCACTCACCTTTTCTACTGTCCGATCCCCAAAAGAGCTAAGTTGTCAAGCTCTAAGATTTTGGACTAGCAGCATATATATTTAATAAACAATTGTGTAAATTACTTTATGGCGACTACTTTAACAGTCCCTTACCTTGGTATATAAGGTGTAACTGTTACAAATATATATTTTTATACTCACGTTAATTTTTAAGTTTTAATCTTTAGTTAATACGTGAAAATATTTAAAATATACAATTAGACAATTCCGTGCTTGCTTATCGCGTTGTTCTAGGCAAAGTAAATTTATACACGGTGTCCTCCAAACATTTATTTTAATAATTTATTCTTTGAAGCACAACTCAATATTCTAAAGAATGGAGACTATTTGAAATGAAGAGTTAAACGGCCATAAAGTATATCAAAGTTTATAAAAAATTATAAAAAGGGTTAAGATTAGTTGGTGATGGAATCTGTAGGAATTAAAATGTTTTTTTCGCCTGATAAAGCTTGACTGAAGACGACGATAACCACAATTAAAAGAAAGATTCCACTAAATATCATTATTCCCTGTAATAAATTAATAAATACGTAATATTATAATAAACAAAAGTCTGTAGGCAATTACTTATAGGCTTTAAGGAAACAAAAAAAAAGTCATTTCTAAAATAAAAACTTATAAAAAAGTAAAGTTTTAATGTTTTAAACCTATAAAAGCTATATAAAAAAAAAGTGAGAGGGGAGAAAGGGATAAAAAGTCACAAAATAACTTAAGTCATAACAGTAAATCTTCTAGTCAAATCCCTCTACCCTGATGCGGTGGGGTCTAAGTTCAACCGTCGAAATAACAAAATTGTAACCTCTTTGCTCAGGTAAATATTTCTTTTTTATGCATAAAAACACTTTTATAAAATAAGAAGTGCTTCTAGGTCTATTATTTTTAAATTAAATTTAGTAACAGGTAACTGGTAACTCCATGTAGTGTAATCTTGTTACTCGTGAAACTACAAGGCGGGGTGGTTTTTTGTTTATCCTTCAGTTTTTTTCTTCTTTTTAAGCGAGGGAAATGTTTTAAGTTATTCGCTACTACGCTTTCTAAATGTAATTACTGCAATATTTGATATATACGAAAAATGTGTCCAAAAACGGTAAAATAATTTATATTTTTTGCTTAGTTTCTACCTGGAGTCTAACAATATGAAGCTAAAAAATATAAATAACTTTCTTTGGAATGACAGAAAAACATGTGTAATTATATAAACTTCTTTAAAAACTCTATCTATAGGAAATTAATATTATAAAAATTACACCCAACATGCGCCCTCAATATAGAAAATTAAAGGGTAACTATGGTAAAAAAAAAAAGAAATTTATAACTATAATTAATAACTTACTTTACAATAACGAGAGTTAAACAAAAGCAATTTATAAAATGGTGTATAAGTTACCTTAATTTAAATATGATTCTAATATGAATAGTTATACAGCCAAGAAAGTTTTGAGGTTAAATTATTAGAAACAAAATTTATTATTCACTTTATAATATAAACTATTTACCTTCTTGTTGTTCCACCACATATTTCTTTTAACTCCTCGAGCTCTTGTATTAAATAAATCAGCTCCAGCACTTAAATTTTCTTACCAACATTTTGTAAACCAAAATTAAATTGAAAAATAATGAAAGAAATTACACCAGAGCGGGTTTCTAAATCAATAAGTTGTTCTCCGCGTTCAACTACTTTAAATAAATTGTCCCTCGCAATAGTGGTTACGGTAGTCAGATCAGTTTTTACTTGTTCCATATTAGATAAACGTTTGGGACTAATTAAGTAAATAAAAATAAAAATAAGGCGAGATTTTTACATAAGTTATTTTTTAGTTGAGAGGAACCTTTTATCTTCGTAATAAAAGGTTGAGCTTCCCAAAAGAGGGCTCTGCAATATATACGCACCAAACAAACAATTATAAAGAGTTTATTCGTCTTAATTAATTAGGTTTATATGTAGATGATTTAAAGGCATAACGGTTTTTTTGATGTTACATATATTATTCTTATAATATTAAGCTCCATCTTGTTATTATATATAAATGACCTCATCGCGCTCGTTGTCTTTAGAATCAAACATGTTAAAGATGGAAAGAACAAGGGGTGTTAATTCAAAACATGAAACCACTTTTACGATTTGTTAGAACTCTATGCCTTCCTACCTTAAGGTGGGCGTCCACTTTTTGGTTTGGTGGGAGATCTACCGCGATTAATAGCGCTAAATTAAATATTAAAGTACCCGGTCAGTTTCCAGTTTTGTAAATGTAGAGGTTGACTTTGAAAGGGTACGTAAAAAATTGGATGGATAGGTTTTAGTAACCCGAGTCAATTGGAAGCATTGTAAAATAGTTAATTTCTCTTCAGGAGACGCCTTACAGTATTTCGAAGTTATTATCTCTTTAATTTTACTGCCAGTAAAATTTCATTGCAAGCTAGTAAATTGGTCACGAAAAAGCATTAAGTACCGCAAAATTTTAAAATTATTTTTTATATCTTCAACACTTATATACTCCTTTCTTATCAATAGCAGTAAATTTTATTCCTTTATAGTAAGTTTTTTCAAACGAAAACATTTCTTCGTAAGGTATAATTGCTGCGGGATGTATATAACTGGTAAACATCATAATTTACAGCTCTCATGATTACTCCAATTTATAATATATTGACGTTTAATATTATACTAAAAATTTAAAAATAAAATAAGTATTATGCTTATGTTAAGAAACTAACTGATGCTTACTGCACCACATTTTGATTTAGCTTGGATAGTGATCTCTGCAACACCATTTGTATAACCTAACACTGCCCTTACCCCACAAAATGTAAAAATGGTTTTAGCACAAACTTTGACCTAAAAATGTCGCGTTAGATTAGAAGTAGGACAACGAGTAATGTATTTTTCGTTGGCCAGTTAGGCACTTATTTATTTAATTTACGCAGATGCAACCGTTAATTTATAAGTTATTAAAATAGTGTTGCCAAGAGCTAAGTTATTTTGCGAGATCATACTAGAAATCTACTACAACTTTGTAAGTAACTAATATGCAAGTTATAACAAAAGTTGTAGGTATTGCTCCTCTTAAGCGGTTTGTAACGGTATATAAATTGTGTGAAGCGTAAGCGTTCTAATAAATCTTTTCTGGTCTCTGTTTTGTAACACAAATATATTTATATATAGAAAAACTTCGAATACTAAGTTCTCAATCAGGAGTAATCGCGCTAAGTACATTCCAGTTCTAGATAGATAATATACGATTTTTTCCTTCGCAGTCCACAAACAAAAAGAGGTAGGATTTATAGCGCCGTAGTCCGTAAATGAGCTCTTCCACTAGCAGGCCGCCCATGTGCCTGGCTAGCCATTCTTATGAGCAATGAGATTGTAATGGAAAATAGTTTAATAATGGGTCTAGCTGGAGGTCCCGGTAATGAGCTTCGCTTCCCACAAACCACATCATGTTTGTCATCATGCGCAGCGGCTTGTTTTGTCGCGCTTGGATTGCGGACTCTATTGCCGTAGGGTCATAGGTCCTTGACGCACAAGCGTATGTCGTTATTGACTGGAAACAAAACACCTACAATTGTCGTTTGTCGAGCATTGTCGAGCATTGTAAGCTTGCTCTTGCTGTATAATAAAGGATAAAGTGCATTAGTCGCTGCCTCACTTTGCCACTAAGTAGACAAAGTGAGCCACGAAAATTTAGTCAAGGATCGCTTCCAGGTATCTCGCTAGAGTACCACGGGACTACATGCCATCAAGGTCAAGGATGCCAACGAGGGGAATGCGTTTTTCGTTATTAGGGAGGCTTCGCTTTTCCTCGCAAATAGTGACTTTCCATTTACGACTCCCATCAAAGAGCTCAATCCAGATAGCATTGCGGATATTGGACAGAAGGACGAGTAAATGGTGGTATTGTTTAAGTATAAGTCGACCCGCGAGTGAGGATTGGATGGCAAAGGCTCATCGCAAATTGATTGCGAGCAGTAGGGGCAGCAGGAAAGAGCCCTGAGGCACCCTGCTGTTATTGATCGCTAAGATGACAGGATATCTCTCACGAGCGCGCTGAAGACGCTACCGTTAAATACGCCTTAAGGAGTCGCGAGGGAGGGTTATGGACCGCAGCTTCTGCAGCAGACCATGCCAAATTTGGTCAAAGGTCCTTAAGTTGAAGGGAGACTGCGCCTGTTAGTTCATTCTGTTAAGCGAGGAACCGCTGGGACGTTGAGTATCCTTGCCGAAATCCGACAAAGCGTTAGGAGCCTCAACGATCTCCCCAAAATGGTGCAGTTAAGCGGCCGCGCCCACCTTGCCGCCGCTGACATGAAACTTATAGGTCAGTATTTGTTGGTTGCAGATTCCGCTTTCGATGTCTTCGGCAACATCACCCTGGCTGCCTTTTTTTTTTTGCTAGAAAAGTGCTAACGGTCATCGCTGAATTTAATGGGAGGCACCGGTATCCATTGCTGCTAAAAGCATTTTTTCAGCAGCTCCATTAGTATGCCGTTTGAGTCAGGCGCCTTTCTTTTAGGTAGCGTTTTGGCAATCACTTGTACCTCGCCTGCATTGACTAGCTCAACTGTTTTGTTATCTGCCATAATTTTGGGCTAAACGCTAAAATGTAATCGCGCTTTTTGGAGGCTAAAATTGACAGTGCGCATAGAAAAGACTGAAGAAAAGTATTCTAAATTGTAATTTAGGGTGCTTAAAAAGGTCCACAGTAACGCTTTTATGTAATATAAAATTTAATTAATACATCCTCTGGGTAATAGATATGTGGATTAGTGTCATCAGAAGTCTCGAGTATAGTACCCGCCCCCTGAGGGTAGTTTCAAGCGGGTACTTACCACTATTAACCAAAATACTGGGTGCCCGGGATTAATTTATCTCCGCCAGCCCCTAGTCTTTCCGGACAATCACAATCATAATAATCCTTCGAGAGGGTAACACAGTGGGCGCCATTTTTCTAGATATTAGCTACAGTATACCAGAGTTAATAAGCCCTTAGACGGAATCGGTAAGCCTTCTGCTCTCGCACCAGTAGTTTTTGTGATTTCCCACCACATCAGACCTGATGTGAGGAGCCCAATCCTTATGTTTTCCGCATTCCTTTTATAAATTCATTGGTTTGCGTTCATGTTGTAACCCGGCTTGAAGAGGGAAATACGGGTCAAAAGTTGAGGGCTCCTGGAATTCGTGGGAAGACACAGCTCATATATATAGTAATATAATATATAATACAAAGGTTGATCAAAACTCAAAGCGCTGTAATAACTTATTTATTAGCCCTCAAGAGGCCCGAGTGCTCCAACACATAATTTTTTAAGAATGTTTAGTTTCTACAATCATCCCATAATTATATGTGACACCTAAAAACTCGGCTTCTTTTTATCTAATGGTTTGTCTCGCTCCACAACATGTGTCTTCCAGTCGCAATTGGGAATCTGTCTGGTTGCTACTCTAAATAACCCTTCTAACTTTCAAGTGCTCCTTCTTTTAACTTATTCCTTTTAGGGCACATTATACCTTGATAAATATTAAGTTAAAAAAAAAATTTAAAGAATTTTTTCTGTTTGGCAAACTCTTTTTTAATAGCTAATGGTAGTAGCTTGTAGGCATGTAGACTTAGGTTTCCTTACTCCTTTAGCAGAGGATGAAAACATTTCTTCTTGCCCCTTTTTGTCAAAAGTTGGAGGAAAACCGGTATAAAATATCTTTTAAACAATTTTTACTTTTTTTATTATTTATTTTATTTCTATATCCCAAGAGTTTTTTTCTGAGTGCCATTATTTTAGGTTTGGTTGGATAAGCTAAACATACCTTCCACAGATAGGTTGAAATGTAAATACTGTGAAGAACCTACTTCTTTTTTATTGCAGGTTTTATATGAAATATTAGATTAATTTCGTTACATTTAATTTTTTAGTCAAAGAATTTAAGTATAGTAACTACTCACATACGTTTTATGAACATTTAGATATGAATAATTAAAACTTCATAACTTACTGTTTTTTATTTTACCAATTTCTTATTAAATTTAGTAAGTTGGGAAGAGCGGGTAAAAGAATATCTTTTATAAAGTTACATCGCTCTGATAGTGTTATTTAAATTTTATTAACGGTTATTGTTTTATTCAAATTTGGCAAATATCTGTTTATTTTCTTTATATATTCTATTTTCTGTGTTGAAGGTAAACTTTTAAATTTAAAAGATAATGTAAAAGTAAGTATCTTTCTATATGCGTATGCTCGAGCCTCCGCACTTGCATTTAAAGTGTTAGCGGGACTTATTTTCGTTAAGGATGGCTGGTTCTGTCTTTCAGGTATATAGTGAGCAGCTTTACCCTTACTCTTACGAGTTTTTTCAAGATTATTAAACTGTAAAAAATCTTTAATTAATAAAGATTTCTCTATATAATTTTGCCAACGGGCCATTAAAATTACCACTGTATTAACTTTTTGCTAAGTTAAGTTATTATTAATTCGTTAATTGGACTTTTATGTAATTAATTATTTAAGTAGTTACTTTGTTTAAGCTAAGCTATTTAGTTATCAGTTTGTCATTTTAAACGTAAACTTTAGATTTCTAGTTAATGTTTGCTACGTGATTAACGCGTGACCAGCCATCAATCTTAAGAGAATATTGCTTATCCGCAGCAATTTAGCGCTTTATACTGTTGATGTTGGACCACAAAAAGTTATTATCTTCACCGCCAAATACCGCCCTGCTAATAATCTTTTTGTTCTCCATCTATCAGCCCGTGGGTCTTGTAACTCCTCACGTGCGTGGGGAGCATAAATTTATAGAAAGATTGCAATTTTAATTTATCATTTTCACGACTTAATATTTTTTTGGCGGTTTATTTCTCTTTTCCGCACGGTCGGAACCAATCATTTATAATTTTAAATTATTAATAAAAAGATTTATACGCCGATGGACTCTGATAATTGCTATCATCGAGCGGTCTATATATTTTGCTGCCAAAGTTATGGTTGTCATCTAGCTGGATTGGGCTGGTGAAAATAACTGTTTATTTATTATTTAACAAGTTGTTTTAATATTTTATATGCTTTTAAAAAGTGTTATTACCTAAGTTGTATACGTGAATAGTAGTATGTATATATCCTTACTAGCTAATGCAAATAAATAAACCTCCCAATTTTTATAATTTATATACTTTAGTAATATTAATGAATACATTGGTAAAGGGGAAATTGCTTTTTTTCTTAAAGTTTTATATTTTTATGTCAAAGTTTTCAAGTTTTTCGAAATCAGTTAAGCAAAGAGAACGTTTTTTATTCTTCTGACGGGAATGTGAACGTTTCGGCCAAAACTTGTATTGTTTTTATTTATCATTTTTTACATCATATAACCCTTTTAAGGCCCGTTATGCTTCGTTTGCGGTTGTCGTGGCAATTATCTATGCGGTCGCTGCAGGGCCACGCGATACTGCTGCCGTGCTCATCAGCTCTATGACTGGAAAATTAATAAACACCGAATCACCTGTCTGAAGGATGTCTTTCCATTAACGGATTCTCGTAATACTAAAAATTGTGCTAATGGCGAAGTGTGCTATTATTTATATTATCGATGAAAGAAGAAAATACTTTCCTCTGGCCCGAATATACTATGGATATCGGCTCGGAAGAGGTTCTTTCTAGTGAAAACGAGTTAACTTCCGATTCTGAAGAAGAATACAGTTATTATTATTATGTTATATCTACAATTGAAGTAACAATACTAACAAAAGGCCCTTCCGATAAGCCTCCTTTTGATGAACGCAATTTCGAAAAGGATAAGTTTTTTCTGCATTTTCAAGAAGCTATGCAAAAAAATCCAGAACAAGTCCTACGGTAGCTTAAATAATTATTATAATTAAAGATGGAAAGAATATTATTAATAAATATTATATACATTATACTAGAGTAATTTTTGTAAACATGGAACAATGAAAAAGGTTTCATTTATCTAATATAGGTACGTGAGAGACTGCCCTGAGGGGGTGTTGTGGATCAGCGATGAGGATATTCCGGACAGCAAAATCCCCGATTGTCCTTTGTGTAACGGAAAACGCATTCTTGAGTTTCAAGTCCTCCCTCAGCTTTTAAATTACCTCGGCGGAACGGAAATTGATTGGGGAATTTTGGCAGTCTACACATGCTCGGTCAGCTGCGCCACTAGCAACTTTTACGCCCTCGAGTGCATTAGAAGGCAGTTTGTTAGCTCACGTCCGGCCGTGGAGCTTCTCGTTTAAATTATTATAAATCAAAATAAAGTGGGTGAGGTTTTTTATGTTCTTTTTTCTAGTATGTTTCTCAGTAGTTGTGAGCGTAGTCACCATGGAGGTTAGCATTTCGTACCCAATAATTAAAGCTTACACTTTTCTGAAGACAAACACCCATTACCATCATGAAGTGGTGATTAAGTTTAAAAAGTTACGCCCCTTTCAAAATTATAGGTTATCGTATATTAAGAGTACTTTATTTTTAAAAAAAGTTTTATAATAAATTGTGCTCCTTTTTGTACTTGAGCAAAGCTTGATACCGGCTTGGAAACCAACACGCAGGCAACGGAATTTCTGGACACCCTTGCGTCTTGAATTCCAAAATTTCTTTATTTTCGTTGATAATAATAATTATAATAAATATTACTATTATTACATATAAAAACCAGTTGGGCTCACGTCCACATCAAAATCAAAATTGTGCATTTCAAATAAATCTAAAGAGTCAATGTTTTTTCTTCTTAATACTTCAGCTTTATAAAAATAATAGTAATTCTTATTATATTTATTAATTACAAAATTAAACAACCTCGATTTTCTTCTTCTTGCTTCCACTCTATAATCTTCTGTTGTTCTTTTATAATTTTGCTAATTGATATTAATAATAGTAATAATAACCATAATATTTAACTAACCTGGAGTCAGGAAGAGCAATTTTAATTTGAACCACAACGTTTTGTTCTCTCGCTCGCTAATAATATAATAATATAATTATAATAATAATGGAAGTATATGTTAAAACTTTATTGATGGCGCTAAGAGTATTGTGCTTTTCCAGTTCTTCCAAGTCTTTTTCTCTGGCTTTCCTATTAATTTCTTCTATTTCTCTATAGAACTCATATAATAATAATAAAATTAATAATAATGATATAGTTACGTTAAAAGCTTTACAGCCAACTCAAAGTTTCCCTCGTGAAGAGCTCTTTGTCTTTCTGCAGAAAGTCTCTTTCTCTCCAATGCAAAGTTTCGAACCTCATAATTAATATAATTATAAAAATTTCAAAAGATTATAACTTACATGCAAATAAGTACTAAAAAAACTTTTTAATATAAGAAGTAAAAAAGGATGGAAGTTATATACTAAACTCTGTAACGATTCATTCTTTTCTTTTCCTGCACTATTTTTTCAATATCTTCAGAAGTGCATATATAGTTTAACGCTTTGTGCAGCTTTGTTTTTGAAGAAATAGTAAACAAGAAATAATAATAAACAAAAAATAACAAACATCATCAACTTTCTGCTTCACAAATTTTTCTGAAGGAAAGGATACTTTTTCTTTAAGCATGTCCTCCTTCCATTTAGTAAATTCTTAATAAAAAATAATTATAATAGCAACAATAATGATAAACAGAAATAAAACTAAAAAATATACAACCGTGCTCTTTGATTGGTTGATTAGAAACGTACTTGATGGCATACTTCCTCGTGGCATGCACGTAGCGAACCTTCAAGTACTTGTTGCATGGCTTCCCGTTTAATTGGTACTCTTTCCCTTTCTCGATGCCAATTATCTTATATGGCGTTAAGGCGGGGAAAACTTGCGACCAGTAATAAAATAGATCTTTCGCACCTGGACTAAGCGGAATACAGTGTCATAGGGCTTTCCGAGGCCGCTGGAGCCGATGCTTACGCGCACAAAGCAGCCGGGAGTCGTCGCCTCAAAAAACGGCTGCTCCACCCATCTGACGCACAGGGTTATTATTTATTAATTAACAGGAAAATATTGATAGAAAATAAACATTACAAAGTAAATAAAATAACTGAAAATTAAATTTATAAACTGTACATTATATGAAAAAATTAATTTTTATAAAAATAATCACTAAATAAAAAATAAACTAGAAAAATAAAAGTAATTAACAGAAAAGAATTGTAATCTTCGAATAGAACAACTATAATTCGAAATATAATCAAAACAATGGATTATCAAAAAAACAAATATAAAATTTAAAGCAAATTTGTCTAAAAAAAAAACTTTTCCAAATGATCTCTCGATATGCGAATGCTCTCAATGGCCGCCAAAGTGGCTTCCCAGATCTTTTCAGCAGCTGTTAAAAACAAAATATACATTTCAAAAGAATTAATATAAATTAATTTATATTATCAATCTTTAGTATATAATACAATAGAGATAGAGATATAAAAACTATATAATATAAATATATCAAGAAAAATATAAAGACCTTTCACAAATATTACAATATAAAGATAAAAAATTCATTAATAAATTTCCACAGAAAATAAAATTATTATGTATATTTACGTTCATAATAAGTTAAATTATATAAAATAAATTGAAAAAATAAGAAAAATTAAAATATAAGAAAACTTGCACCTACATATATAAATTAAAAAACGAATAAACAATTTATAATAAACGAAAGTTTATATAAAAGGTTTACAAAATAGTTTTTCATGAAGTTTCTATTAAAAGCGTAAATAAAACCATAAAAAATTAAAAAAATTGACCAAACTTAAAAATATGGCCTTAATAATCGAATTCCTTGTAAGATAAGTAAAAAATCGTGAGAAGTCATTGATAATATATTGAATAAAGCAAGTCATAGAACAGTTTTTTACAATAAATAAAGTTAAAGTGAACTTAATTTAGTTTTACAGAAAAAATGAGTGTAGTTTAGTAAAAATTAAAAAAAACTACAAAATAAAATGGTTTCCCAATAAAAAATGAAAAAAAATAATACGAGAAATAAAGAACTAAATAGTAATAATGTGTGTAATAAGCGCTAGACAAAGTGTATATAATAATATTATAAAAAAATATTCAACGAGTTATTTAAAAATTTATAAAAAATTAAATATATTATCCTAAAGTAAATTATTTTTTGCAAGTGTTTAAAAAATGATTATACATAACGCTACAGTAACTACTTATCCAAAAATAAAAGATTGAAAAATAAAAAGTAAAGCGTAATGCGCGCGCTTACTAATAAAAAAAGTAAAATTATTAAAATTCAAAAATATATATAAGAATCGTAAAAAATCAACTGTAATACCTTTAGTCACATACTTTAAAATAAGTAAAATTAAAGTACAAAAAGCGCTTGTAGAATTTAATTTAAAAAAAAATAACTAATATTGTAAAGAAATAAGAAAAATAAAAAATATACATAATTGTAAAGTATATAATTTAAAAATAAGCAGTAAACATTTAAAAGGTTTTTTCGAAGAATCCAGGTAGTGCTCAACTTCACCATCGGTTTTTCCTTCGCTCTTTTCCAAGTCTGCACCCTTATGTATCGGTTTCCCTTTGTTCTTAAAAGCAGTTTCTTTTAGCATAAGTTGTTGCTCCTTAAATCTTTCAGTCTTTTTTAGAACTCGCAAGCGCCTAGACTTCAGTGAACCCTTTTAAATTATATAAAGTATGTTTATTGTAAAATTAAAATAATAATATATGTAATACTTTAAATAGTTGTATTACTCTAAGACAACTAAAAAAAATAGAAAATATATAAAAACAATTTATCAAAAAGAAAATAACTTTAAGCCTTTTTCTTATATCCTTTTTCTTTTGTGTCTTCTCCTGCTTTTTTCGAGCTCTCAGCTTTTGCTTAGTCTCTCTTTTAACTCTGGCCTCTTCTCGCGCCTGACTTCTCTCGTATAAAACTTTTTCTCGATCTAATAAATAGAAAAAAATTAAATTAACATTAATAAAGGTTAAAACTACATGCCAAGTTCAGACATCGCCGCAATTTTCTGTCTATCCTCTTCATCTTTAATCAAATCATCGCCGTACTCATCTAAAGGGTCTTCATTCGAATCAGATTCTGCTGATTCAGATTCAGTCTAATTATATTACATAAGAAAGTGGAAAGATACACAATAGTTAGTAACACCTCAGATTCTTCAGTAGTGGTAAATGAGGAAGACTTAGCAAAAGTTCCCTTTTAATTATAGAGACGAGTTTTTTTAAAAAAGTAAAAAAGTGCAAAAGAAAGAAGTTTTTTAAAAACATTATTTTCCAAATCCCAATCACTTCCATCTTCTTCGGTTTCATCATCGCTAAACTAGTATATAAAATTAATTAAAAATAAAATTTATTAAAAAAAACCAACGGGATCCCGGTTTTTCGATTCTAATTTCCCTTTGGAAGACCAGTCAAAATTTAAATCAGAGTCATCGTCTGACTCTTTGCGACGTCTAGACATTGCACTTATTTCCTCAAACTCTAATAAGTTGTTCAGAAAGAATAAGAGAAGTTCTTGACTCCCGCTGAGACGTGGAGTCAAGTAGCCTAATGTAGAGAAATGGTTGAAAGCCTAGAGCCAGGTGCTAAACAATGGCGTCTATAAATAGAGGCCTCGATGTAAAACATCGACGGCTGACCGCAGGTCCTGAAAGCAGACGCCTCTTTCATGATTGTCTAAATACACCAAATACAGTTGCCTCGTTGCACAACAAAAGTTTACTTTCAGCAAAAGTCTAGAAGGGCTTAACTACATAGTTAAGGATACATTTATATAGTTTCCCATAATTATAGTACTCTCGATTGGGTTCTGGAGTTTTTAAAATGTTTAAAAATGTTACCGAGAACCTTCTAAGGTACCAAAGATTTATAAACATAAATTTTCCTTTAAAAAAAATTATTAAAAAAGTCTTTTTTGAAGTAATATGCTAAAGCAATCCCCTAAATAGTTTAACAAAGGCTGCCATATAGCCTTTCAGTATTAAACAGGTATAGGGTAGAACTTAAAAGGGAGCCTAGAGCAGACTTTGTTTCAAAATATTGAATTACGAGTGTTGATTGGCGAGTACCTCCGTGAGTAACTTAGGTTGTTATGAAAGTCTCTACTTATACTAAGTTTTTAGCTTTCATAAACACCGACGGAAATAATAGTAATGGTAATTTTAAGTCAATAACAAATGCGTATCGTTAATAATTGTCCCCGATACGCGTAGTAATTTATACTAACAATTACGCCTACGCCCATGAGGTGGAAGTAGGAAAAAAAGTAAAAACAGGTTATTGAATTGCTTCACACCTACACAGGAACGAATAATAAAAAAGAGTTATGAGGCGGGTTATACAAGCGAAAAATATACTATAATTAAAAAGCATAAAAATGCGTAATATGGTTAAATAGCAAATATTAGCTATAATTTTCACGAGACGCCCGTGCGTCCTTATTATACATTATGGTAAAAGTGAAATTATTATTGCATACTTTAAAGTTATAATAGATTTTTGGAGGAAAAAAAGGAGCAATTAATTTTATTGCTCTGTTTAGGAGGGACACTAAGGCGTTAAAAGGTATTTAATGCTAGATGTTAAACCGATGTGTGTTTCACGTGACTAGTGTAGTTGTTAAATAATGCACACAAACAGTGGCTAAGACCACGTAATATTTACTAAAGTTAGTAATAACAAACAGTTATGTTAGTAGTATTAATTAAAAAAAATATACCAGAAACTTAATTTGAAGTCAAAAAAACTTTGCCAACCTTAAAAGAAACGAACTTTGGTTGGGAAACTAAAAAGTGTTTGGCTCAAGTAGATGTTTAATAATGGACTAAGTATATGACCACTTAGCGGAGTGAAATGTAACTTCTGCGACGGCATTCAATATCGCAAGTTAGGAGCACTGCAGCAGAAGAAAAATATATTAAGGGTTATTTTTGCATATACATAGCACTGGTTACCTACAGGTGTGAGGACAGTCAGTTGCTGCCGTAAGGTAACTTAAATTACTTGAAGGCACGAAACCACGAACCCCTAAATGAGCCATTGCATCATAAACGAGGTCGGATGAACTAAGTCATCACAGTAAAGAGAAACATATCAAGAAAGAAGCAGTAGCATAATAATAACAATAATACAAATTATATAAGTATAGTTAAATTTTATACCTTTATAGAATAATATAATAAACTATAATCTCCAAAAGAAGATTGACGACAAGTATTCACATGATCTGCACTAATTTAAATCTCTCCAGCAGTTTGCCACTCTCTTTAAGGTATGGATACGCTCCCCCACTCCTCCCCAACCCCCACTTTCCGACTTGTTGCGCACAAACCAAGGAGCATCCGCCGCCATTCTCAAAACGCAATTTTGTAATATTCAAAGTTATTTAATATGCTTGCATGAAAAAATAGACCCAGGAAGAAGCGTAAGCCATCAGCGGACGTAGATTCGATTTATATAACAAGCTTGTTTTATGAAGCTATTTGCTTTTCCTGCACTTTAAAGGGTTAAAATGGCTATGGCATGATTAGTTATTTTGAACGACTTATATAAGATGAGGCTTCCAACTTAGTCTTTCGTTCATTATCGTCTTTGGGTATTTAACTTTACTGAGAGGAATAGTGGTTTGGTTTAGTGAGAGACTTGAATTTTAAGAGAGGTCTTCCTTGTTTTATTATCATAAGCTAATTTTGGGCGCATTAATTATTAACCACCTTGGTAAAAATGTCTCAAGAGAACTATAATATAAAGCGGTGTCATTAGCCTTCTAAACTAGGTTTTTTTATAATGTCTGTGGCATATAAGGGCATGTAGATAGAAAAAAAGTAAGGAGATAATAGAGAACTTTTAAGCACATCCACTTAATATTTAAATAACCAGACTTCATCGAGTTTATTCTAGCTTTTGGTTCTATTTGCTAGGTATAGTGGTACTACTTTAATTTGGTTACAAGGAAAATTAGCAGTAATCATTTTAAAAGTAAAGTCATTAATGTCATATTTTATCAGAAGACTCTTTTCAACATTAAAAAGAACACATCTGTTATTTATTAAATGTTTAAGACTTTAATAGTCTTTATCTTAAGCATAAGTCTGATGGATGATATAGTAATTTTATTGTAGAACAAATTAAAAATATGAATAAACGCATGTGTTATCCACAGGCTCATGTAACCTAGAAAAATAACCGCTTCTGTCACCTTGGCAGTGAAACAACTTCAGCGAACTTTGATGAAAAGGCTAGGTGATCTAGCTTTTGGAATAAAGGTAACTCCTGCTAATTTCCACTGTTTGGGGAGTTAGGCAGTGGTAAGTGCTTGAATAAAAAAACTTGACATCTTGAAGATAGCTTCAGAAGTTAGTTAATATAGAAATACCTTCGGGATCGAGACTTTTCTTGCATTAAAAGAATGAACAACAAATTCAAATTCCGCGCTGGAACTCAGCTAAACCTTCTTACATATGTTAGGCTTTATAAGGTAAGCAGCCACTCATGGACACGTGCTTAAGATGATCATTTCGTAAAGTACATCGATGGTGAGCCCCAGGAGTCGGCGAATACCTCCAAAATATCAGCGGGCTTTCACGCTGTAAGATCGGAACATATGGATAGGTGGTGTTATGTTTCTAGCTTAAGTAGGCTCTTGAAAATTTCCATTAAAGTTTGTCCTCTAATCCGAAAGTCTCTAGTTCCGTCTACCAACTCTTTTTAAACCAAATTTATCCTTAACTCTTTTGGTAAAGTAAGAGATCATATAATGTGCTCTCAAGGTCGACCTTCTTCTAATTAGTAACATAATATGATCTAGTAGGTTGTATTGATTTTAACATTTTAAAGTTCTTCCAAAGAAATAAACCTACTGCACACCTCCTTTATAGCTACTTTCAATAGGGAACACCAGTGTCTAAGTCAAGAATTTTCATAGAGTGAACCATGAAGCCTTTGTTTTTGTCTAGCTGTTTCCAAAAATGTTGTCAAGTAGTTATTTTCTTAACACAAGCGCCCGAGGCCGCATTTGCTTCTATCTCTTTGAGAACGAAGTTGTGACCAAAGAAGAAATTTAATGGTGCGTTGACAGTGACAGAAACATTACCATTTTGTGTCGATAATATTGTTAGCCTCTTTGACTGAAGGGTGTCTCAGTCTTTCAGACCAACATATCGTCAACCAGTTCGCTAGTCTCTTTCCATGGGGGTTTCCACATCTTCCATGCACAGAGCACTTAAAATTTAAATCTCCAATAATAATGTTAGGAAACCCAAAAAAATATATTCAATATTTATGGCCTAACCTTGACGGAAGATTTGTAAGGAGCAATGAAATCGACCCTTATAATATATAGAGCATCATATCCAAAAAAGTAAGTGTTTGGTGTATAATACTAACTTAAGTAGGACCACTACGCAGCCTCCTCCAGTGTCTTTTTTTTGTCGCACATGCAATTTTAATATTTGAGTATTCTAAGAATATTTACCTTCTTTTAGGTGTGTTTTAAGGAGAATACATTAAGGTCTATTCGGCCATAAATTCTTGTATACTTGTTTCTTGGAAAGGATGCCGCCGGCATTTTATGCCAAAGTTTTATAAAAAAAACTACAAACTGGAGTCGTTTTATTCAACCTTTTTAATTATTTAAGTTTAAAATAGCTATGTTTTGAGAACTGACAAATTTACAAGGGTTACTAAAAAAAAGTTATTCATCATATCGTTTTACGCTATATCCAATTATGCCGGGTTATAGGTTTGGTATAGAACGCTGTGCATAGCTTATAGTTCCTTCTACATAACCTTCACATCATGATTTTATAACCGTTCGAAGGCTTAGGATAGTCACAATAATACTCAAAAAACATACTGTTGTCAGAATAGTTATTACACGTAGTACAAAGTCTTTTCTTTTTAATATAGATAACCCAAGTTTTCTAAGTGCTAGTTCCATAAGTATTTAGCATTGTTGCAGTGGTAAAAGTAACTCAGTATAGATGTCGCAACTGAGATATCCACATAATGTACCAGCCATATTTTGCAAAAAACCAATTAAACTATAATAGTGTTGGTGTTCTCTGGGGATTTAAATTTAGTACTGAGAGCAAAAGTAGTCTTGTCTTCTGCGAGTTTCCGTTTCAACTGGAAATTTTAATACGAGTTTATTCAAGGTGTATATTTGATCTATTTAGTAAAATTCTTTTTCATCTGTTATATTTAATCCCTATAAATAATTTAATTTGTTGCAATCTTTTAAAGTGTATGCCTTTATAGGACACAAAGGATTTTTTCGTAAACTCTGACTAATATGCAGTCTTCAACATGAATAACTAGATAATTGTTATATGGCTGTTGGAGTAGAATTTACAGTCATCAGTTCGACAACAAATCTTTTTAGTCTGTTAACTTAAGTTTTTGTAAAGGAGGCTAGCTAATTCTTGAAAACGGTACTATACGCCAAATTTTTAAAATCGCATATTTTTTTTTTAATTTAGTATTCTCATAGAAGGTACCTTTATTGTACTATATATTAAAAATCAACTCTAGGTCTTGAGTTATGTGCTCATAAAATACTTTATGCAATATAGTTTGTAAAAATGCGGAA